TTGCGTATACTGTATATGAGAACAGATCTGGTATTAGATGAAATACTTGTGTAGCATATTACAAAGGAGTTAATCCTCTACATAAAAAGGAATTATTTCTTTTGAGAGGAACATTGTCGCGCAATCACCCTTATTGGATTAGTCATGTCGTATGATTTCTATAACTGAAAAGACAAGAATACGCAACCCTCCTTGTTTTCTGTATCTGTATCTGTATAGCCGGTATAACCGCCCTTCGGGGTAACACAGTCCAGCTTCTGTATTTGTATAGCCAGTATAACAGCCCTTCGGCGTAACACACCAGCTTCTGTATCTGTATAGCCGGTATAACAGCCCTTCGGCGTAACACACCAGCTTTGAAACAACCAAGTGCATCCATGTAGTATAGAGAATCTCTGTCAACAATGTACCGTCAAAGAATTTTGCCACCCGTGTGCATACTTAATTACCTGTACAACAGGTGGTAGAAGACAGTGACACAAGACTGACCTAGCTATACTTGAACAACTACTGAAAACAGAAATTCAAAAATGCTTTTTTTCAAATGCGTTTCTTGGTGACTGAATGCTAGGCTTAAAAATCCCTTGGGACTGTAGTTTCTATCAAACATAAAATACACCAGTTTTTGATTGCAACAAGCTACAGTGTAAATTTTACAGTACTTTGAAGGTAAAATGACAAGGTATTAATTCATCAATTCAATTTTGATAAAAAAAGTAGCACTTGACTTTTAAATTTAAGATAATAAATTACCTTGTACATGTTGACTCAAACCAATGTCTTTATAGTAACAGTACTACAGCATGGCAATTCAAGTCACTTAAACTAACTTAAGCATAGTACTTATAACACATTAACAGTTCTGCAAACTCACTTACACGCTCAACTGCTACAAGAAACAACATCAAACTAACAAAACAACATAAAAACAACATCCTACCAAAGATACACTCTTTCCCAAAACTGCAACTATTCACTACTTAGAAGTAATGACTTTACGTTAAACATTGCGACCACACTTGTAAGGTTCGTGCAATGGTGCCTTCTCTGACATAATTAATAGCTCAACAAGTAACGAGTTGCCTCGTATCGAGAATAATCCAAACAGAATAGAACAAACCAACATAAAAACAACATTCTACCAAAGATACACTCTTTCCAAAACTGTAACTATTCACTACTCAGAAGTAATAACTTTACATTAAACATTGCGACCACACTTGCAAGGTTCCTGCAACGGTTGCCTTCTCTGACATAATTAATAGCTCAACAAGTAACGAGTTGCCGCGTATCGAAAATAATCAGTTTCGTGTCGGTCTTCGCAACCCTTGGAGCACATCGTAAACTTGTACTACAAGCGTCGCACAATGGAAGCATAATGTGCCGACAATTTAGCAATAATGGCAAACATGTCAGAAATGCTTAGACCTACCTCCCGCTGAGAACTCCCGTGGTCGATCGTTTTTTCGTTCTGACTACATTCGCCGCGTCACAAACAGTACAAAACTGTCGCCCTGCTTTAGAAACGCTTTGTTTCAAGTTTCAGGGCAGCCTGAGTGGTAGGTTATGCCCTAGTGCACCTCTACTGGCACACGGCATTCCAAAAAACGTGATATTTCGGCTGCTATGCCAACACGGAAAGACGAGCTAACCTGTTGTCCTGCGGATTATTACGTACACGGTTTGGGTTACAGTGAAAGCTGTAACAGCCATAAAGCAATGGCCACGCTGTGTTAACGTGAATGGCTCTTACGGCGTTCTTGTGTTTCTCTGTTTACAATCGCCGCCCTCTCTGTTACAATTCATTCTCAAGATACCAGAACAAGGAGATAAATTTAGAGGCGGTCTATTTTTCGCCAGGACAGAGGCCCTTTGATAGTCTTTCTTCTTCACACTTATGGAGCGCTGGCAAAGCTTTTAGGACATACCTAACATTAATCCTGTATTAAATGTAGGATTAGCCTGATCCTTAGTTACATAAAAGTGCCTTGTAATGAGCGCTGGAGTCCACTAATTGAGACAGAGGTGACCAATCACTCGCACTTAGAGCAACGGGTTGTCCTTATCATATGAATGTTGTTACTTTAATGTTACATTAGAAAGCTTTCGATTTGATAATGCTCTGAGGTTTAAACTTATTCATGAAGAACTTTAACTAGGCAAAAACACGTAAATGGGCCATGCTCACAATTTGAATGAAAGATGAACAAAGATGAAAGCTGAGAGAAAAAGTTGCATCAGAATACATCGAAGTTTTCAACTCTTTCAAACAGGCATGGGTTTTCATGTTGATCTTTGGTTTAAGTTCAACACTATTTTCTTACAACCTTGATCCAAGAAAGCTGTGGCTAACCAATATAGAATCTAAAAATGCTTGAAAAGGTAGTACATGTAATTAGTACAAATTTCTATGTTGGACAGTTTGCAGGCTTTAGCCTCTAGGAAACTGCCAGTTTTCCTGGTTCTCTCCAAGATAAAACAATCACTTTTCAACAACATCAACTAAAAAGACATCACCGATCATCCTTCCATCTTTTCATCAAACATTAGCTTGAGTGGTGCATTGAAAGTCCAGTTGATAGTTTTTCCTTTAAAGAAAACACCCCTTAAGAAACCACAACCATCCTTTAAGAGGTGGGTGGGCTGTAACAATAAGACTACTCTTCACTATCCTTTTCACAAACACTAACAGTAACTTTGTCCCAGAGATAGAGTGTTCTATTATCTTTAGTAAAAGCCGTGTCTTTAAGCAGCAATGGTCGGCTTCAAGTGACTTGGGCCCACTTAGGCCACAGCAAGTAATTTTTATGGATGACATCAGCGCTCGCATTAATTTTCGCCTGATTTTGGGTGAAAAAAAAAAAAGAAATTTTGTTGCCTTCTGACAGTGGTCAACATGCCGAAAATGGGCAAAGATGTCTGTTGCCATGCTGGAAGGTGAATGGAAGATATCTAAGAAGAGAGGAGACAAGAAAAGACTCTGATTTAATGTTTTGTTTTTTACTTTGATGCAGTGATATGTGATGCTGGCTGTGTATATGTGATGTTCCCTCTGAATCAAAACCATTTGTACAATGATTGAGTCAAACTTTTAAAATGTAGGAACCTTGTTTTTTTTCCGCCCGCTCGTATTAGATTTGGAGTGTGCAGAGGATGTCATCCATAAAATTTACTTGCTGTGGCCTTAGGCCCACTTACATGGTCCAACCACGCCCCTCAAAAAGGGACAGTCATATTATGTATCTTTTGTATTAAGGAAAGACAATACGTCTCTGTCAACAGGTTATAATATACTGTTCTATATCTGTATCGGTACAGCCGATATAACCGCCCTTTCTCCCTGTCACAGTTCTTTTTGTACTCTTTAAGCCAATGGAACTGTTTCATAGTTATGGTAAGACTAAGAGGGTGTACTAGTGTTTCATACTGCTCGGTGCAGCTTGTACATAGGATTTTGACATCTTTGCAAGTAATAAAAAAGCATATCCAACACTTAACAACTCATTGAGTAACTTTTTCCTTATGTAATCTTGTTACTTCTTGTTATATGTGTGTGTGCATGTTTGCACCCAATGTATAGAGTCATCCAAACTAAACTTTATTCCACAAATATTCAATTATGACAGTAATTAAATATGATATCTGCACAATTGCTTTTCCATTTTGTTGTTTTTACCTCCCTTATGTAATCCGTTCCTTGGTTGGGTCTCCGACTGTCCTAGTTGTTGATCTCCTAATCTATACATTTAAGAAGGGCAAAGACCAAAAAATCTCCACACATCTCTGTAAGACACCAGACAGTTCCTTTGTCACGATGGCCCTGGAAAGCTGTATAATATGTGTTAATCCAAAAGGCCACTGGGTCTTTAAAGGTTAAACTGGAGACAGCCAAAACTTTCACAGCAAGGACACGATTTGTGGTGGCGTCGGTGGCACAACGGTTAGAAGGTTGGACCCGGAACCGAGAGGTCCCGGGTTCGATACCGTGGTCCGACGTTGTGCCCTTGGGAAAGGCACTTTACATGACTTCCCCACCTATACGGTGGAGTGACGCCCACCGAGCCTCTTAGGCTAATCTGTCTGTCAGGGTGCCAAAAGCACCTTACGGATTTGGTGCGCCGATGTGACAACATCTCACTGAGAGTCGTAAATTTTTTTTTTTTTAGGACACGATTTGCCACCATCACAGAGCCAAATCATTCTTTCTTCTTCAAGCATACCCTGCTGTGAAATATCCATGAAATCCATGGGATGTGTACAGTGTAGTGTATGTAGTCCCGAGTATGCCTGCTTGGTGATCCTGCCTCTGGAATAAGAGGTTGGGAGTTTGAATCCCAGCTGTTGTCGCCCACCCGCTTGCTTGCACGTTACTGAAAAGGGTCGCAGACTCGCAGTCCTTGGGTTTTTGGGCTGGGACCTAGAGTTGTGATCCATTGTGCATTGCAATTGTTGAAAAAAGCTAGGAGGATCTTCAATGAGCTACATGTAAATGTAGTTCAAAATCACTTTGATCACTACATCAAACTTTCAGACTGTACAAACATGAATGCTTTCATGCAAACCAACTTTCAAAAACACTTTCACATACAAGAAAACAGGCAAGGAATTAAGAAAGGTTGACACAACATCATAGATGTTGAAGGAAATCTCTTTCTCTCTCTCTCTCTCTCTCTCTCTCTCTCCCCCTGTTCCTTCTCAATTCAGATAACTAACTGTACATACATGCATTCCTTCATACAAACCAAGTTTCAAGACCACTTTCAAACGGAGAAAGAAAAGACAGACAAGAATTGAAGAAAGTTGACAGAACATTCAAGTACTCAAGGGAGGGACTCAAGTACTAGAAGTTGAAAGAAAGCTGCCGATTGGCTGACTGTGACCTCTAACCTCTTTCTCCCTCTCCCTGTCTTCCTTCTCGAACTCTGCCTCAGCCTCATCCTGGAGCGCCTGTCCGTCAAAGTGGAGGCTGGTGCCGGGATTCAACATCGACATCCTGGCTCACTCACTGGTCTGTCTGGGGTTCACTGGGGTAATATCTGGGCAAAACATAAACAGATTTTACCTTCTAACTTCCTGTTTTTTTATTTTATCATTGTAAATACCTACCAGTTCAGACCGTGTGTCTGTAAGAAGGTGTATGAATAAAGTTTCAAGTTTGAAGAATATTACCATTGCAACTGATTAAAGAGACAAAATTTACAATCAACTATTTGTCTTATTTTGACCATGCACTTCAAGCTTCACTTAACACTAACACAGGTTACTCTAGGCAACCTTGTTGTTTTCATGGTGTTATTTGTTATAATTTTGTGTAGTTACTAAAAGTGTATCTCTGTATGAGCAGCTAGGAAGTTGTCACATGTATGTGGATGGTTTTTGGGACATTTGGCTGTACATGTTGGTTGTAACAACTGCTACAAAGGATGCAGTTAAGACTCAAGGATCAATGCCTTGATGGACAAATGTATGCAAAATTGTAACAATAAAACCAGCTGAGTTGACAAAAAAATTGTCCCTGTCGGTCCCTAAATCAGCACAAAAGTATCTCCATCCTTTGACATTTAGTACCTACCGATATCTTGAAAGCAGATGCCTTTACTGTAGTTCATAACAGAATGGGCAGGTGGAGCAACTGCAACAACATACAGTAACTTATGGATTAGGTCACAAGTTTTCAGGACACAAGAAAATCATAGCCATAACATTAATCTATTGTCATTTTGCCAACATTGCAAATGCATGATGGTGTATCATAATTGATACTCTTACTACATAAAATAACATAAACAATTCAAAAGTACAATTTTTTGGCAATACATGTATTCTATCACCTTATCATAGATAAATCTCTATCAAAAAGTGATTAGTTTACTCTTAATTACATTTTCATTGCTTATAGAAATAGATAAAATCTAACAAAAGTACCCAAAACCTATGTTTTTGCAGATATATCTGATATACATAACATTTTGGATTGAAAAGTCAACAACAGATATAGACTTGCTTTTAGTACACACCTAACAAAATCAGGATTACTGGAATAAAGGTTATGCAATCAGTATCAATTTCATACAACATATGCAGTTCAAGTGACACATAACAGTCAGCGAAACAACTAAAACTTACTTAAAGGGACAGTTTTTCACAAATTTCGAGGAGATACTAGTAGTACAACAAGGTGGTACCTACCCCCTGGCCTGTGCAGCTATACAGTCCTGATACTTAACACTTATGGCACAGTAATTAAACAATAGGTATTACAACAATAGCCACAATAGACAAGCCAGCGCACCACTGTTACAACTGAAATGGACACGCCCCCTTTTTGTTATATGCTTGAATGACCAACCAAGTAAACAACCTTAAACTTGAGCCGTTACACTATAATAACATATATTTTAGAATTTAAAAACAAACTTTCAATGCCATTTTCATGAGGTTTAGTCTGCCTGACAAATTTTTACTAAACTCTAATTCTAAAGTAATTTTTCCCTTATCATCATCTTATAAATTGTTGTTTTGGTGAGTTTTTTAAGTGCTTTTCTTACAACATTTACATGTGAAAAGTTAAGCAAAAGATAACAAGGAAAATCAGATTGTTAAATAATATGGGATCATACAAATTTGCAGTATTGCAGATTGAGAACATGTCAATATCATTAGAACCGCATGGTGTCGCTGCTACACGACCAAGTTTGTTTGTACTTGTTCATGGTTCGATTAACAAGTAAACATCAAAAACCTGGGCTATAAAATCAGTATAAGATTATATCATAATATCCCCACTAGCCACTACACAAGAAACATTAAGATCATAATATGCAGGGCCTAGCAAATGAGTAAATTCGACAGAAATATTCTTGTTGAAAAAGGGACACTCGAGCTAACATCGCCAAGCCGTCTGTATTTCTTCGGCGTTTTTCAAGCGTTCTTACCTCAGGATAGCTACAAAGTTGGTCACATTTTGTCGGGAAGGCTATCAGTGATGTATACAACTTCGCCTTTCCTCCAACTATGCTGCGATTTTGTACTAAAGCGTAAAAATCGGCCAGTTTGAGAATAACCCGATTCAACTTACCCTCCCTCCATCTTGGATCCAAAGGCGGGAAGAAGGAATCTGAAAATCAGCGACGTGATTGGTCAAAAGTAGTCACGTGGAAAAATCAACCAATGGCGAGCCGTATCGCTTGCTCTCGTATCCAGGATGTTCTCCACGTCACTCTGAGAACGAGATCGCCAGGAGGTCAAAGGTGAGGTTTATTATTTTTCTGCTGATTTTGACGTACCGCAACAGAATGTGGTACTACAATATCACTTAAATTACATCTTTCCAAATGTATGAAATATTTCTGAAGCTGTAATTGTGTTGGCTGATTTATAGTCTATTTTCTTGCTCTGTCAGTCGCACGAAGTTTGCTGTAAACTTTGGATAAATAAATTATTTATGAAATCAGTGTGCCAACTGGGTAACATGTCTTGACGGGTTGGCTCGATGTTTGTTTATGTATAAAACTTTGTTTAACAGGAGTTTTGATCGTTCTAGTTGATTGTCTAGGCTTGTCGGAGAGAGTTGAGACACCATGTCGAGTCCAGGAGGGCCCAGAGCTCGCTACCAACCTGGAACAACCGACGGAAGGGACGTTGTCATAAGCCTGGACGAGAAAGGTGCACCAAGGGTCAGTTTTAAAACTTGTTGTTTTGTTGTGATCTTCTTAAAGTAAACAGTTGTTGTGTTGGACACCGAGTTACTAGATATATTATGTTTTTAGTCCATCGATATCCCCATGAAAGATGCATCAAGGCTCAGTAGTTTTGTTGAACAATTTGTTTTTAGAAAACTTTATCATTCTGAAGCAAACAATTGTTGTGTTGGACACAGAGTTACTGTAAGAAGGTTGCATCTCCAATTAAAATCCTTGCTGTAAATATTATACTAGTTTGAATATATAATTTAGTGGCCCCACCTTTTTATTCGACTGCATGAATGACCCCACGCTGTTTCTGATTGAAAATGAATACCACATGTTGGATCTAGAGTTACCAAAAATATCTGAAAGCTATCAAATTGACAATCATCTGTTGACATCTGTAGGGTCAATGTCAAAGACAGCTGTTGCAAGCAGTATCGTGATTATATAATGACATATCTTTGATTTTAATTAAAGGTAAAATGTATTAGGATTTTTGCCTTTAAAACAAAATAGATTATCATTTGGATGCATGGTGTCATAAATTTTTAACTTGTCGGATAGCAGAGGAAAATTTCGGTGAGTCAAATTTATGAGTTGGAGAACAGTTTAAATGTTTCATAATGTAATTTACCAACTCAGATGAACTTTCATGCTGTTGCCTATTACTAGTATTAGTTGCTAATTGCCTATTATTGATTGCTTGTCAATTATCAATTGATTGCTTATTATACTTAATCAGAACATGTGTGTGTAAGGTAGGAAAGCCTGAGGTTGACATAAATTTTTTAAGAACTTTATTAAAAACATATGGCAAATGGTACTTGGCACAGTGAGTCACAAACAAGTTTAAATACATTGTTTTCAACAGGTGTTGTTGAGCAGTAAGTTACATGTGTGATTGGCCAGTGGCCACTGTTGTTAGTAACTGTCACTTACAGATGCATACTACAAAACAGAGTACACACGGTTTGCATTGTTGACATTCACCTCATTCAACCAACCCATAACAATGCTTACTTGACAAAACATGCAACTGCTTTCCGCCAGCGACATAATCTGCCATCGCAGTTTAATACAGTACATGATAACTATACAGAGACTATCAAGTCAAAATACTTGCAATTGGCACTTGAGGGCTCAAACCTCTGTGCTATATGGACATTTAGTGCACTGCCAAGTATGTACCATATATGGTTCTACTCTGTTTAATACCATCAGGGCATGTCCCTCAGCTGTTGTCAATGTGACCCAATAGGGCAGGAGCTCCAGTGATTTAGTAACACTAGATGTTTAGGAACGTCACCACTAGTACTGGTTGTTTGCAGACATAGTTGTTGTCATAACTCTTTGGCAACTCCTGAATCACTTCTGAATCAGAATGTTTTCCACTAGTACAACTACAAATGTACCTACATATGACTCCATGGTATGACTCATTTGCAAGTATGTCATTTCCTTAATCTTTCTCATTCCCTACGACTCAAAGTCAAAATTATTTCTTGAAACTTAAAACTGCCCGTACCAGCAGAAGTTGTGTTTGAATGTTTCTTTGATGAGATAATGTAATAAAAATACTATGTTTTTCTATTGTTTTGATATTATCAGTTACAGACTGCAATACTGTATTTTGTTGTTAGGAGGCGCTGTAGGCACACCTGTTGTGTGATTGTACAGTTCTGCATACAATCATAAATGAAAGTTCTGAAATATGTTTTAACTCAGTCTTTCTGTATGTGAAGGTAGAGAATACACTTCTAGTCTGGATGCCAGACTGTTTCCAGGGCCTACACAGGCCAGCTCCTCTGCTCCATATTGCCAATATGCCCTATAAAAAAATTTGAAATAGAAATGTTTAATCAGTGTTACTGAAGGCAGGTTTTCAGATTCGCAGAAAAGGAGAATGTGTTCTTGGAACAGGAAATGTTTCGTGCCCATTTATGTCAATGACCTAAGGTGACCACATAAGTTGAATTAATTGAGGCAGAGGTATACCGTATACCATGCTGTGTACAGTATTTAGCCATCCAGTATCAGCAAAATGACACTGAAAAAAAAAAACATAATGATAAGTAATGCTTGAATTTACTTTGTACACCAGATCAAGTCATTATTTTGAAGGCACACGAGCCAAGAAACAGGGAGGAAGTTGAGTAAAAAAAACAAGCTCCACCCACCCCCTACAGTCATAACAGTTACTGAATCACTGGTTGACTGGTTCAGACCAGCAACTCCAGTGTCACAGATAAGTTGACTCTACCCAGGTGTAGCGTACCATAAGTTTGCCAACAAACTGTCTGAAACACATCTCTACTAGGAGGCTTACAATGCATAACAACCATTCCAATGTAAGTAGACTTTGAATTCACAGTTTTTGATCAGTCTTGAATTCAGTGCGTTCAGTTCTTTTTAACATCTTGCTATTTGTGAATGATCATAATATGGTTGACTGAAGTCGTTAAGTCAGTGTAGGAACGGATTTGATTATGTTCAGTTGAACTTGATCCAGTACTAGTGATTTTACAGATGTGTGTTGAGCTGTTTTTTTGTTGTTGCCTCAGATTTCAAAGTTACTAGAATAGATTTAGACCTTCAGATTAGAGAATTAATGTTGTGTCGTCAGGGTTTAACTCTGTCCTTGTAGTAAATCTAAAAATAAAGTTTTCAGAAAGTTAAGAAACAAGTTTTAGTTGGCCTTGCTGATATTTGAGGTTCTTGTGCATTTTTAGTAGCATTTTTAGACAGTTGCTTGTCTTTGAATGTTAAAAATGTTGGAGAAAAATGTGTCCTTGATCTGGTACCGTAAATACAGTTGTTTTTTGGGGGGCCTTAACTTCGCAGTGAAAACGGAAAGGTGGTTTTCCCAATGATTTTTAAGTTCGCAGTACAAGCATTTATTCAGAGTAAGAAGTGAAATGTATATTTGCAAGAAGTCACTGCAAGAACTGTTAAAATAAAAGTTTTAAAACCACTGTGAACTTTTCAAGATTTACAGTTCAGGTGGATAACATGTTGTCAGACAGTGCCATTGTCTAGCTCCATTGTGAAAAACTTGACTGTCTACATTTGCTTTGTGCAAATTATGGCTGTGCAGGCATAACAGAGGTTTAGGCTTTAGCTTAATTTTTGTGCATTTTTTTTTTCTTTTTTGCACTGTTTTTTTTTTTAATGGCTGCCAAACAAGTGCATATACAGCCCTGCCAATGATTGTAGCCAAAATGATAATTCTGCTTGGAGATAAGTTAACTCTAGGTCAATTGTTGTTTGTTTTAACAAAGTTCTTAAGTTCCATTTTCACAAAAATTTCCCACTAAACTACTACAGACTACTAGCAGCTTGTTTTGTCCTTGTCCCGTAAGTTGCCAATTCAAGGTCGTTGACCTGTCTCTTCCTGTGGACAAATAAGACGTTGTGTCTGCACACGCTGCAAAGACGTCATACATTCCTGAAGACAGGAGTTTCGCCTGAGGACCTGGGGTGGACCAGTTTTATCTGGTCCGTTGTCTCTGACCTGTAAAACGGTCAGGGCTAAGCTAGTCCCATAGCCTTTTTCACACTTACAAATGTAGCTTGTTACATTGTAATCCACTGTATCTGGTCTAATGTCTGTGACCCTGTAAAATTAGCCTCTACCAGGCTTGGGGAGACAGCTGGAAAGAGTAGAAATTAGCTTAATAGAGGGATAACATGCCGGGGAGTTGGTCCGCTAGAGAGTACATTTTGCAGCACCAACTCCCTCGGCATGTTATCTATCTATTTGTCCAATTTCTACTCTTTCCAGCTGCCTCCTGAAGCCTGGTAGAGGCTACTGTAAAATGGTCAAGGCTAAGCAGGTTCCATAGCCTTTTTCAGGCTGTACAAATGCACAGTGTCTGGGGCACGGTATATTGGAAGGTGAAGCCCATCCCTCTCCTTCCACTGCCTTCTATCTCCCAAACTAAAGTCCATTTTACACCTGGGTGGAGTGAAGAAATCCAGTCGTCATGTAGTACGTGCCTTTCCAAGGACACAGTGTCTTGCCGAGAATCAAACCCATGACCTCTTGATCTTGTATCTGCCAGCTAATATTACCACGTGCACTAACTGTAAAGTAGTGCTAACAGGGTTGGACAAGTCCCATTGCCCACTTGCCCAGGGCAAGTTAAAGTACTGTTCGGGCAAGTAAATATCCCCCTGTACTTGAACGATTGGGCAAGTACATTTTTTTATGCAAAGTATTAGCCCCTGCAGTATTTCAACCAAGTTTTAAACAATTTTGATAAATAAAGCATCCAACATTATTAACTCTTTCTGCTAGTAAAATGCATAGAAATGTGTCATATTTTGGGCAAGTAAAAAGTTGGTTCGGGCAAGTGGAAATGACCATGTACTTGCCCGATAAGGCAAGTGGATTTTTGAAAATTTGTCCAACCCTGGCTAATATTTATGGGAAAACCTGCTACAAGTGACAGGTTAGAAAAAATGCGGACACAGCTTATTTGATTTAAGAAACAAAGTGTTTTTGTATTTGCAAAGAAAATACTTGATAAAGATATTCTAGCATTAGTTAAGGCATGTTTAAACATCACAGTTCTTCACATTTATCTAATACACAGTAGCACACATCCAGAGTAAGTCAACATAGACACACAAGACAAAGTATATTTGTTCTGTTTTGTTAAAAGATACTTACCAAACACAGGCTGCCATACCGCTTCACTTAGTCTGCAAATATTGTTTCACCATATACCTGGTTTGCAAGAGAAAACTTTCAATCAACTTTAGCATTCAACAAAAAAGACTAAAATCTATGTGTACCCAATATTAGATTACTAGACTTATGTGCTATCGTTGAAGTCTCTGACACTTGTAGTTGTACAGGGGTACGCAGTAAAAATACATGTACAACATAGTCATCAACACAAAGGCTTTCCCTAGTCTAACACAGCCCCTAAGTTGGGTCACGGGGACGTCAATTGAAGACTGTAATTTGAGAACACAATGTACGTAACTTGTTTACTAAATAGAATAAAACCAGTGCACACTGGGATAGGAGCAAGGTCAGACCCCATAGAACTAGTGGTTGCAGACACTTGTTGATCGCTGACTTAACAGACTTGTTTCTTGTTGTTTGTAGTTTAAGTTTGTTTTTAAAGTAGAAAAAAGGTGCACGTTGGAAAGTTATGCCGGGCGACAGTGTGTCAATAGAGTTACCTGAAACCTCACAGGTGAGGCTTAATCTGGAGTGAAAACTGACTAATCAAGTTATGATTGTGCCTACCGTTTTTAAAGCTAAACAAGATTGTACTGAGACTGGAGAATGTAATAATGTTCTCCACTCAAGCAAAATGGTACTAAACTGTCTGGAAAATGGATACTGCCTGACAAATTTGATACTGTATGCAGCCACTGAAAGAGATTGGAGATTAGATTTTCCCCAGGCAAGGTTCTGGATACAATTTGTGTTTGGGTAATAAGAGCTCAGCTGTAGATGTGAACAGATTCAAGTACAGTAGATGTTCAGGTCCAGACTTCTACGGTGATAATTTTGCACATGTGATAAACAGATACAGTCCTACATGTGTACAGTTATAAATGTTCTGCTGATTGAAGAATTTGTTTTTTTCCAGACTGAGGTTGCAGGAAACCAGCCCACTGCAGCACAGTGCTACAGGTTCACTAAAACGGTAACTTCACAGATTTTCCTTTTGAAGTCCAAGCCTTTCTTTAAAGTCTAACTTTACCCGTCAAAATTCTGTTGGATACCCTTAAAAGTTATTTTAAAGTCTGCGACATTACCGTAAATTGATTTTAAAAACAGTGAATTCCTAGAGATGTAAACGTAACATCAGTAATACCCGAGATATTCAAGATACAGATATCCAATATTGTCTTCAATAACACTATATTTTGTTTTAATGAGGCAAGTCTTTTTGTATACAGCACAATCATACACTGATTTTTACAGAAAATATTTATCTAATGTGAAGGTACTATTAGCTGACAACTTTTCTTCAGCACCTTGCCCAGTCAGTAGCAAAAAAAATTAAGGAATCAAAATGTTTACTGTTTAATTATTCATGATAACTGTTATCTTTCCACAGGACCCAGACAGTGTGCGTGTGGATGTTGACCCTACAGCTCCACCACAAGAGACTCCACCTCCCGCGTACAACGATGCGGTAGACACAGAAGATAGGCCGGCAAGCCGCAGGAAATGCTGCGCTGGACCAAGCATGTCCACACGGGTCCTGAGGGTCTGTAAGGAACACAAGAAGCCCATCCTCGCCACCATAGGGGTGCTGCTGCTGATTGGTGAGTTTGTGGTGTAAAAATATTGGTTGTCTATGAATTAGATATACCCTGTATACAATGTCATGTAGACTCAGGAGCTCTGTAGAACTGTATGTTGTATTACAAGTGTTATTTGCTTGAACCCCACGGTGCAGCAAAATTTCACAAGGTGCAGCAAAATTCACAGTACAGAAGTGACCACAAAAACAGCGAAATAAAAGTAACACACACAAAAAATTCACATGTGTAACAGTGGACATATTCAGAACTATATGATCGTATACGTATTACATATTTTTATCACTGTTTGTCCATTACGTCGTCCATGTACTTTTACTATATTTACCATATTTTTATTAATCAATTATGTAATGTAATATCTTTTTAACTGATGATATGTTGTTTATTAACAGTACTGTGTTTTTTATCATTGGCAAAATTGTACAATCAACGCAATTCAGTCTAAGGACTGCCAAGTTGATGAATAGAGTTTGAAAGCGGACTATTGACACCATTGCGATCATATAGTTCCGAATATGTCCAGACTGCAAACTTTTGCTACCGCGAACATAAAGTGATTATTTTACATAATTGTTTTTACTCATTCCTTGTCTGCTCACTCCAGGTTTGATAGTCTTCCTGGCATATGCCATTCCCTACTTCCTGAATAACGGGCACCTGCCCGGTGGCTGTAGGAACCTGATCGGGCTGTTGGGCATATTGGGAGGAGTGGTGTTTATCGGCTTGTACATCTGCATCAGCCGCTTCTGTGGGGACGACATTTACGAACACTGTCTGAAGCACGTCTTCACAGTCACTGGGAACATTTGGGTCAAGAGGTAACTCTGATAATTCCTAAACATCTGTTATACCTCAGTACATTTAAACACAGTGTCTTATTTTTCAGGCTAAAGATATAGGTAGGCTGCATCTCAAACAAATTTGGCACTTTGAAATCTTGAAAAACTTGTAACAAGGATTTTAGAGTACATCTGCCCTCTACAGTATAGCCCCCTGTTAGAATAAGCATTGACTCTGTAACATAGATACAGATTACACATTGAAATCCTTACAAATCCATATACATATATAGCCATAATGCAGGGGAGAAGCAAGCAGATGCAAACAATTGTTTTGTCTCCCCCTTCGTTGTGGTTTGTCCCAATAGAGAAGCAAACCAAAGAAATAAAGAAATAATAACTTCATAGACATCTATTCTTACAAAGCATTGTTCTTACACATACCTGATATAACAAACTTGAAACGTGTGTTTTCTGTCCACTAGGGTGTTCTACGTCTTATGTCTGATTGGTCTGATTCTGTGGATCGCCTTGGATACGGCACGGAACACCCAGAACCTCATCTCTGGAGCTGGGCTGATCATCATGGTCATCTTTCTCTACATCTTCTCTAAACACCCGGATCATGTAAGTACACTCACTCACTCACTGTCTGGTTTCTCTGTTGTTCTGTGTCTTCCAAGGGTTAGACGTGCTTGTACAGCAATACTGTGGCTTGATGGCAGCCCGCCACTTGCCTCTGTCCTGTGGGTTGACACTAGGTTCAACTTCAAGTGGTGGAAGTCCTTCCTTAGATTGTCAGTCCATTGCTCCCTTGGTCGACCACAAGGATTTGGACCTTCCACAACCAGTGTGAAGATCTTCCTAGGCCATTTGTCACTGTCCATTCTTTGTAGGTGGCCATATCATCTTAGTCGGTTAGATCTCACTAATTCTGAATGTTTACTCCAAGCCTAGTTTACACACTTAAGAAATTCTAATGTAAAGACATCTAATGCAATTTCAGGGTGGAAAAAAACATTTTGGATGAGGAAGAAGTCGTCAGACAAAATAGAACAAAGATACAGGTTACTTGATTGAAGTCCTAACAAATACCAAATAATACCAAATAATAACAAAGATCAGATACGAAGATATGTAGCCTACACTAACTATTACCAATTGTATAAGTTAACATACACTCTACACTCTGCTTGTCCATCATCAGGTGAAGTGGCGGCCGGTGCTATGGGGCCTTGCCCTGCAGTTTATCTTCGGGCTGCTCATCCTGCGGACTCAGGTGGGCTTTGACGTCTTCAAGTTCATGGGCGAGAAGTTCCAGTCTTTCATCGAGTACGCCGACGTGGGCTCCAAGTTCGTGTTTGGGGAGAAGTACACCGACCACTTCTTCGCTTTCAAGGTAGGTCGGGTGAACGTACCAACCACTAAGTATCTGATACCAGTCCAGAAAAGAGCTAGAAACAATCATGCCTTCAAGTACTAGAGTTATCAACTAAGGATTGGGGTGTTCAAAGACTCGTATTTCCCAATGATACAATCGTAGAGTGGAACTCGTTGCCACCAAGCACAGTTGGGGCATTATCACTAGAAAGTTTTAAACAACTCCTGCAAAGATTGAGTGTCACAAGTCATTTGGTGTAATGCATCTAGCTGCCACTGCACCAAAGCTGGTGTGTTATGCCAAATAGCAGTTATACTGGCTATACTGATGTTGTTATTTCTGATTGACAGGTGCTGCCCATTATTGTGTTCTTCAGCAGCGTGATGTCGGTACTGTACTACATTGGACTCATGCAGGTAATAGCTTTTAACTAAATGTAGATTTGATCAAAACCTTATCTGTTTTATGTCTTCATGGTGCAATATGTTGGGTTGCTGAGTTTTTGGTGACGTCTCAGGGAGGAGTATGTGTGTGATCTGCAAGAATTCTAGGAATTCTCTAGGAATTTTGTCCACAGGAATGGAATGTCCACAGGCATTTCTCTGACCTACATCTATGCCCACATTCCTGGAAACCTTTGGGAAGACCTCTCTGCTCCAGATGGCCCTACTTTCTGTGACACCGGGGCTCGTTCACTATACATTCAGGGGAGGAGTGCACTGTATCTGTCTAGACTTAACAGCTTCCTCAAAATCATGAAATCATGGCAGTGCCATGCAAACAATAACCCTAACAGCAACCACCGTCGCCATGGTAATGTATGTTTTCATTGCCAGTCTTGTTCAACTTAATTTGTGTAATTATGACAGAACATGCGTAGAGTTTTTATGTCTGGATTGTAAACAATGTTGGATGGATGTGCTGTGGGTTTGAACTAAAACTACTTGTATCTGCTAGTTTGATGGCATGTGGATGGTGGCAGATGAACACTGAGGCAGAATAATGTGGTAAAAGGTTTCAGAATTTGTCCGAGAGCATACAGGAATTAGCTGTAGTTGACATGGGGGAATGCAGAAAGCCGAGAATTCCTGGAAGTCAAAAATCTCTGATTTCTTGTGGTCTTTGTGCAGGTGGTTATCGTGAAGATGGCCTGGCTGCTGCAGCGCACCATGGAGACATCCTCACCTGAGTCTATCAATGCTGCTGGGAACATCTTTGTGGGACAGGTGAAGTCACTTCTCCTTAACCCAGTGGTGATGAAATTTATAGTGGCTACTAGACAAACAGACACGAAACTAGGAGGCCAAGGGTTTGATTCCTGGTAGTCCTGGCTAGATGTTGTGTCCTCGGGAAAGACGTTCCTCACTCCACCCAGGTGTAAAATGGGTACCTGACTTTGGTTTGGGGAGTAAAAGGCGGTGGAAGGATAGGGATGGGCATGTCAACAGTGGATGAAGAACCTAATGTATTTCCCATTGATCCTGTCCACTGAGACCTTTTTCTTCACATCCCTTCAGTGGCTACAATAGACAGAGTAGCCTTGCTATCATTACTAACTTCAATCTGTACTTGTTGCTGCTATGTTTAAACCCAGACTGATGCCCCTCTGCTGATCCGACCCCTGATTAAGGACATGACCAAGTCAGAGCTGCACGCCGTCATGACAGGAGGGTTTGCAACCATTGCAGGTATGGTACTGTTCTTCTATAGAAGGTGTGGTAGCCAGTGTTGTATGTTCTATAGAAGGTGTGGTAGTCAGTGTTGTATGTTCTATAGAAGGTGTGGTAGTTAGTGTTGTATGTTCTATAGAAGGTGTGGTAGTTAGTGTTGTATGTTCTATAGAAGGTGTGGTAACCAGTGTTGTATGTTCTATAGAATGTGTCGGGACCAGTGTTCTTGTGTTCTATTTAAGATTTGGTAACTACACCCAGTGTTCCTATGTTCTATAGAACATAATTATGAGAACTGGTGTTCTTATGTTCCATAGAATGTATGGGAACCAGTGTTGTTGTGTTCCATAGAATGTGTGGGAATCAGACTGAGTGTTCTTATGTTCTATAGAATGTTTGATAACTTTGTTTTAAACTCTTACATTGTGTATGATAAGCAATAAATGTTCTGTCCTGCATTAGGCAGTGTGCTGGGAGCGTACATAGCGTTCGGTGTGCCCCCCACCCATCTCCTGACGGCCTCCGTCATGTCTGCCCCGGCCGCTCTGGCTGTCTCCAAACTCTTCTACCCCGAGACTGAGGAAACCATGAGGCTAGACGACAATGTGCAACTGGGGAAAGGGTAAGGGTTAATGTTATAACAATGTGCTGCAGTGCAATGTGAACCAGTCAGAATTGCCCTGAGGAAGGTGACAGACGGTCGCCAAAACGTCGGCTGAATAAAAGACCTGGTTGTGTAAAAAGAGTCTCTTTACTCAGTGACTTACCAACCTTGACAGTTGTACATCGTGCAATCTTTGGTAGCAATAAAAATGTCATCAATACTATATACTAGTTTTTCTAAGAAACTGACTACAAAAATATGGACGCAAATAGCATATATACATGACGCACGTTTATAAAATCATGTTTTTTTTAGTGAGGAGAGAAATGTGATAGAGGCAGTTGCGCAGGGCGCTCAAATCGCGATCACTCTGGTAGCAAACATCGCGGTGAACCTGATCTCCTTCCTCGCCCTTCTGGCCTTCTTCAATGGCATCCTGTCCTGGATAGGCTGCATGGTCGGCTACGACATCCTGTCTTTCGAGGTAGGTATCTGTATTTGTATAGCCTTTTGGCGTAACACACCAGCTTCGCAGGCATGCGGTGCGGCGGCAGCTGGCTACATTTCACCGATCGAGTTGTTACACCTAACCCTTGAACATCTAACTCTAGACTTTGTTGAAAGCTATTTAGTGACAGCGCCCCTACTGTACTTGGTGATAGCAAGTTCCACTCTAGGTGTGAAAATCAAAGAAACCTACAGTGGGTGTCACTGGAAGACAGACAAAACATGTCCAGACTATGCAAGTACATGTACCTAATACCAGCCCAGAAAATAACAAGAAATAGCGATGCATTCAAGTACCTTGTACCTTGTACCTTGGTCCCTTAACCCAGGCCAGGGTCGTGGGGGCACTGCATGGTGGAGTGTCTGACCATCTGCCGCCATCCCTCTCGCCTGTGCACTAGGGATAGGGTTTCCGCAAGGTTTTTCCCTGTCCATTCTTGGATGTTGTCAGCCCATTTTTTCTTTTGCCTTCCCCTTTTTCTTGCTCCTTTTACTGTCCCTTGATTTAGGATTGAGGTAGGTGTGAAAATCAAAAGAAACCTACAGTGGGTGTCACTGGAAGACAGACAAAAAATGTCCAGACTATGCAAGTACATGTACCAGAAAATAACAAGAAATAGCGATGCATTCAAGCTAGTACCAAACTCATCAACCAATGATTGAGGTGTTCAGGAACTCTTCTTTCCTAGAACTACATGTATCGCAGAGTGGAACTTGCTGTCACGAACTACAGTATTATCATTAGATAGCTTTAAACAATGTTTAGAGTTAGATATTCAAAGGTAAGGTGTAGCAAGTTGTTTGGTGTAATGTAGCCAGCTGCCACCACATGACATGCCTACAAAGCTATATGGATACAATAGAGACATATTCAGAACTGTGCCTGATCCTAACCCTAACCCATCCAGCCATAGTCATAGAACTAGATACGCATGGTTCTGGGTACAATAGAGACTATCCAGAACCGTGCCTGATCCTAACCCTAACTCATTCAGGCCTAGAACTAGATAGGCACAGTTCTGGGTACAATAGAGACTATCCAGAACCATGCCTGATCCTAACCCTAACCCATTCAGCCATAGAACTAGATATGCACGGTTCTGGATATGATAACTTAAAGGTAATTGTAATCATCCTTTTTGTATCCTCAGATTATCTGCTCCTATGTGTTCATGCCCCTGGCCTTTATCATGGGTGTGGAGTGGAAGGACTGCCGTCTGGTCGCTGAGCTCATCGGCATCAAAACTTTCCTCAACGAGTTTGTTGCTTATGAAGCTCTGGCAAAGATTATCAAGAACAGAGTAAACGGTGTTGTTGGCGCGGCTACCATGTCGGTAAGTGTCTCACTGTTCATCCTGAAATGTCCTCTGTGGTTTTGTTACTTGCTTTTTCACTGCATGAGTGTGTGTGTGTTGTAACTCTGTGTAGTACTATCTAAAAATAAGCCAAACTCAGGTTGTCTAGAAACGGAAACTTTCGTTGTTTTGTGTATTGTTTAAAAGTTTTGTCAAAAGTTGTCTACCAATGTTTATGCAGAATGCACTAATACTTGAATTAGTTAATTAATTTGTTACAATTGCCAGCATTTGAATTTGTCTCAAATTTGAAATTTTACCAGTCTTCATCACAAGTATGCTTCCGTATGTGCAATGTACAAAATGTATGTTTCCATGCCCACATACTTTCGTGCATGAACATGTATTACTAAATAAACTATAAATTAATTTTTCCCCATGTTGCATGATCCCATCTCTTTAGCCCATTGTTCCCATGATGCATTGTTCCACAGGTCAGGTCAGAGGTCATAGCGACCTACGCGTTGTGCGGATTCTCCAACCTCGGTTCGATGGGGATCATGCTTGGTGGACTGGGAGCCATGGCGCCCAATCGCGTGGGCGATCTGGCCGAAATGGTGGTCAGGGCGCTTATCGCGGGAAGCATT